CCAGATGTGTCCTGCCGTGAAGGTTGGGTGCCTGCTTCTGGCACTAAAGCAGGAGATCTGAACACAAATGCCAATCACATCACGGACTGTGCAGATGCTGAACCCTCAACTAAGTGTGAAACAGACTCTGGCCCTATACCTGGTTTTTAAGTCTTTCAAAATTTTCAGAGTGCTTCAGGCATGAAGAAAGGGAATACTGCATCTCTGGTCCCTTCACAGTGGAAAGATCAGGGCACATGCACTGCCTCATGCAAACAGTCCTCTGTGAAAAGAAACATTTTTAGGGCTGGATGCTCTACAGGTAGGAGGTGCCGTGAGAGGATCATACATGAGAGTGGGAGTTTTTGGGGAGTTTTAAGCGATGAACAGCTGAAGAATTTTCTATAGAGCCTGTGGGAGCCGTGGCTTTTCAAAGACATATCACATGTCCACAGATGGGCAGGCTTTCACTAAAACAACAAAACTCTAATTAATTGAAACAACAAAGCTCAATTTCATTGAAACCACAAAAATATTTTTTAAAACAACAAACCCCAAGAGCATTCATTTTCCCTTGCCCACCCACACTTCAAGTCTAGGCTTCAGAGCACTGAAAATCCTACTCCAGCTTCCCATAGAGGAACTGTGTACTGTCACTGCGGTGACACAGAAGTGCTCAGCAGTCAAAGTGGCCCAGAGAGAAGGAAGACCATTCTCTAGCTAAGTGTTTATCTTGGAAGGTGGAGACCGGCATTTCAGCACCTTCACTAGGACCTGTTTATGTATTTCACATGAGGTAGGCGATGGATAACATACACACACAGCCAAGGATTGGGATTGGGACACAGATCTCCCCTTGCCCAGGAGAATGACCATGAAGATGAGATGTGTCACACCTGCTCCCCAGCCCAATGAACTCTGAATTTGCCTTGCACCAAGCGAGACAACTGCAGGGGGTGAATGTGTGCTCCCCTTGCTCCTGAGATAGATAACAGACTGGTGTTTGGGGCAGTTTCCCAGAAGGTGGGATTTCATCATCCTGAAGACAGAGGAGGGACCGGACCTTGACCACCAGCACTGCTGGGTGTGTGCTATAACTGTTGAGCTATTGTTTAACAGGTAAGAAAACAAGTCCTCTACCAGCGGCATTTTCAAAGAAAAAGGGTCGCTGCTATTTTCTGTACTGATCCTGCTCTGGGAAGTAGCTGAGCTCTTCAAGGAAGACTGGGAAGAAACACCTACCTGGTGGTTCCCAGTCACACCTATGTGCAAGCCAAGGTGCAGAGGAAAACTGAGCAGCCCACCAAGGGCTTGTCCACCACTTGCCAAGGGACAAGTTCTAGCTGTGTGGTGTTTAGAGGATCATAGTCTGGGATTCAGTGCTTGCCATCCCATTTAGACGGTGCTCCAGGTGCCTCACACCTGTGCCCAAGGCACGGCCACAATGAAAGAGAAATGCTGGGTGCTCTGATCTAAAGAGGACAAAAGGCTGCAGTAGACAATTGTCATGTATGTGTTGTAAGGAGTGGAGAAATCTCGTGCTGGGCAAATAGGTGTTAAGGGGGGCAGTGAAATGACATTGAACCACAGGAAGTATTTTTTTCACGGCAGACCCCAACCAGATCTCTCAGAGGGACCTAATCTTGGGCCATATGACCTTTCTTCCAACCCTGAGGACTGTCTCCTGTGGCCAAGGCAAGGGGACTTCCATGATTGTTTTCTTTGTGTGTGCTGTGTAACCCCTGGAGGCAGCACCTAAAGGGGCCTATAGGAGAGGAGAGGGACTATTTATCAGGGAGTGGAGTGATGGGGTAAGGGTTTTAAACTGATAGAGAGAAGATTTAGATTAGATATTAGGAAGAAATTCTTTACTGTGAGGGTGGTGAAACACTGGAACAGGTTATCCAGGGAAGTGTTCAAGGCCAGGCTGGATGGGGCTTTGAGCAACCTGGTCTAGTGGGAGGGCATGGCAGGGGGGTTGGAACTCGTTGATCTTTAAGGTCCCTTCCAACCTGAACCATTCTATGATTCTATGAAACCGAGGAGCTGCCTCGACAGGCAGCAGAGGACAGCTGCATTCTTTCCACAGGTTTTAAGAAACTGACGTTAAACGCATTAATCGATAGGGGCATACAAACAGGGTTGTTTTTCTGGGCTCAACTGCACAAATATTCTGTGCATCCTGCCTGTCCCTCAGCCCACTCTTCTTTGCTGAGCCAGCTCGGGGGTCTGGGTGGGCTGCTCTCCTGGGCCAGGGCAGCACTGACCCTGCCTGTCAGCTGTCCTTTATTTCTGCCACCCGTTACCAGGCTGCCTGCTGAAAACATGACCTGGGTATAAAATGGACCTGCGCTCGCAGAACAGCTCGATGAGTGCCATCTACTGATAATTAAACATACAGCACGGCAGAGAGAGAGAGGCTGGTTTTCCTGCCGAGGCGGTGATAGATGGCACACGGCATGGGCAGCACGGTTCTTCATGGCTGCCAGCTCCCGCGACGTTAGGGAGTCGTGGCAGCACCGCGCTCGTCGCCTGCCAAGGCTGGCTTCTTGCTGCAAGGTCGTTTCTTGAAGCTTCATCAAGCAGCATTTCTTCAGGGGATGTGCCGGGTTGTTTTGAAGCTGTGCTGATCTTTGCTGCAGTCTTCTGGAAAAAAAAAAAAAAAAAAAAATCTTTGGCAGGATTAGGCTTGGTAGACTATAAATGACCATTAATAATTTTTTAGTGTTAATGTAAGTGCTTGTATCAACTGGAAGTTGAATCGCTCAATCAGACTAGTAGCAATTAAAATGGTAATTTTTCTGTACTAGATTCTGCTTGCAATTTTGACTCCAGTAAAACTCTTTGAAGTTAATTGGAATTTTGATTAAAGGCTCCTGGATCTGGGTCTCCGAATTCGTACTAAGGAAGGTTCAATATTTGCTTTGGTTTTCTGCACATTGAGTTCACTGCTATATATTAGTGTGACTGTACAACAATTAGTTGTAACAAGAACAACTCCAATAAAGATTGCTGTAATCTAGTTCTTGATATATTTTAGAAAAGGTCTTTTATCACAGAATGCCCTTTAAAGTGCTGCTAAAGCAGGCTGTAAGATCTGAAAAAAAACTTGATTGCTTAAATTGTTTGCCTTAATTATTTCTAGTCCCCTATAAATTGGCTCAGTAACATTCACTTAACGGTAATGCAGAACTTGGTATGGGGAGGGAGGAACGCACGTGTTCTTGCTCTTCAGTTTTTGGTCGTCAATGCCAAAAAAAAGACCCTACAGAAATTACATTATAACCAGTAGTAGAATGAAAAGTAACTGTGGTGTAACAGCTTTAAAAAGTAACATTTTTGCCCAAAGTGTTGCAAAACAAATTCCAAACAAACAAACCCTCTGCAAAAAAACAAACCAACCCAAACAAAGCCAAGAACTGGCTGAACTATGGTGAGACAATTAGTAGCGTATTCTGAAATTAACATGAGGCACGAGGCACCCAAAAAACCCGGGGGAGGATTGTCCTCGCAGGGCTCCTGTCTCACACAGGGTTCTTTGCAGTCAGTGCCACCAACTGCACCTGAGAGCGGAGCCCCCGTGAAGGAAGGAGGATTTGCAGGGAAAAATCCCCCCTGGCAAACAAGGAAGGCATATTTTGGTTATGATGTCGTGGGATTCGCCTGGAACTTTGCTGCATGCTGATGTCATTCCCTGGACAGATTTCATCACTCATCCTTCCAGGCAAAGGAATGTCATTTTTGGAAAGCTGCACCATAACCGTTGCAAGTATTGCTTGAACTTCAGTTGAGTCAGTTGCCGGTGTGAGGAAAGGGGAAAGCAGAAAGAAAGAAGAATAATACTGCAGAAATTATACTGCCAATATTGAGCGTGAGGGTTCTTGTTGTATACCTCTATTTATAAGAAGAGTATATAGTTTGCAATCAAAATGCAGGTTGATTTGCTTTGTATTCATTAACAAAGTTTAATTTTGAAAAATATATATGCATATATCCCTGGTCACAAAAAGACACACATTAAATAACAAGTTGCAAATATCCCATACCAAGAAGTGCAACTGTTTATCAATAACGGATTTATCTGCAAGCTTGTTGTGACTGTGGGATTAATTTATCTTTTTTTTTAATCCTAAAGTAGTCGTTGCAGCACAGTATCTTTCGTTTTCCAGTTCAGCACCACAGTAATTGGATTCAAGTGCAAGGAAAGGGATTAAAACCAGGTCATTCCAATTCAGAGAAATGATCTGGTTTTCTTTTGTCTTTAGTTTTTCTGAAGTTCCCAATTTTGAGATAAAATTTACTTTGTATCTCAAATATTTTCCCTCTGTTTCTAAATCATAGAAACTTAAAATAGGAAAGACTAAAAAGATCAAAGCTTATTATTATTATTATTTTGCAATACAGTACCAAATCCATGAATATTCAACGGATATGATGCGACAGAGCCAAAACTGTGTTACAAACTGCTAGGTTTATTTAATGGTTAGCCCAACGCTCACAATTCCCGACAGTGAACTTTGAGTTGTTGAATGGCTGTGGCAAGAATGGGCTTATTCTTAACCCCTGCCAGTTACTGCATCCACGTGTCTGGATCGGGTACGTTGTGTGAAAATTATCACTTTTGGACTAAATGACTAATACATGTATTAACTCGCTCTCACTGAAGGCTTCCTTTTGTATAATATTTGCCATTTATACAGTAAGGTTCATCCCTAAAGTCTCAGCCTTTGCATGCAAACAGCATCCAGAGACGTTCAGCGCTGGAGGAGCAATGGAGCACAGCTGTGGGAGGAAAGGTAGCAACTACACGTGTGGAAATAAGTCCCCGCTCCCCTAGGAGGCTTTAAAAAATAAACGACAGGGTGGCAGGGGTTGGAGGGGACCTTCGGAGACCATCGAGTCCGACCCCCCTGCCAAAGCAGGTTCACCCGGAGCAGGTTGGACAGGAAGGCGTCCAGGAGGGTTTTGGATGCCTCCAGAGAAAGAGACTCCACAGCCTCTCTGGGCAGCCCGGGTGTGCGATGCCCACGAAGCCCCTCAGCCCTCACGGAGGAGGCACTCGGAGCCGGTGCCTGGACAAGGCGAGCCACACCGGATTCCTTCTGCACCGGGCCGGCCCGCTCCCGCCTCCACACTTCGGTCAGCCAGCGGTTTCCCACCCGCCGCCGCCGGTGACAGGCGACCGCCGCGGGCCGTTCCTGTGGGAGAACACTCGTTAAACAAACACCAGCTGCTCGGCGGCGGCTGGAGGCCGCGCCGGCGGCGGGCACCGCTTCCTTAATGTTTTGGGCCCTTTACCATGAGGAAAGCGGGTTCCCAGCCGCAGCCGGGGTCGCGCAGAGGGAGGGAAAACCGGGGGGGGAAAGCCGGGGCTGAGGGGGCGGCGGCGGCGGCGGCCCCTCAGGCGGCTCCCGCCCAAGC